CACAGCTGTGGCCTTATCTTGCCTTTTGAGGTATCTCTGGCCTCACAGGCCACAACAGGCCTCAGCCAGGACCAGTGATTCATAGAGGTTCACTTACTGTGAATCAGCTCCTGTCACCAGGCAAGGAGTCTAGACCTAGGACAGACTCACAGATAAACATAGAAAGCCAATTAGTAAAATTTAATGCTGCTTCATAGTGGTCTCCAACAATGGCCCACTGGTTGAGCAAGTGGACACGGACCTGTCATTCACGGAGACCAGGACACATTCACTAGCACAAAGCTAGTTCTCAAGTCCTGCACAAGGATAAATCAGGAAGTGTTATCTTCAATTCTGGTGCAAAATCAAGTCAGTTTCTTTATTCAGTACTGCCATGGTTTGTGTCCGATGCCCCCAAAGTCTCATGCAGTCATGGGGGCCGTCTTCTAGAATTTGTGATTGATTCATGGTCCAATGCTGGGATTACGGGTGTGAGTGCTACACCCTCCCCAGGGGGATATTCTACACACTCTGTCCCCTCTGTGCGCTCTTCCCTTTTTGCTTTTGTTGCACTTGCTGTTTTCCTCTTCCATGAACTATTGCCCTCTGCCATGTGTTACTCTGACTTGGAGTCAATCAAATATGAACTGAAACTCCCAAAAATTGTGAGCTAAATAACCTTTTATTCCTTTAACTTTGAGTGTCAGATAGTTTTTCCCAGCAAGAGAAAAAATGTAACCAACACAGAATTTGGTACCAGAGAAGTGGGGTCATTCCTATAACTATTCCTGACCATGGGGTTCAAGAGCCTTTGGGAAGGCTTGTGGGAAGAGTTTGGAAAGGTTCAGAGTTGTTCCCTGAAAGAGGAGACCTGGAATGCCTTTGGATATTCTGTATTGGAGGTTCTGGTTGGAGCTCAGAAGACCAGAAGACTAATAGAAAATCTTCTGATAAAGACTAGACTAAAGAGGTTTCTGCTGGGAGGAAGGACTGATTGGCTACATAATGATGTGTGTTACGGCTTGGCAAAAAGTTTGTCTGCATTTTTCTTGTGTCCAAAGATTTTGCTTGAGACTAAGATTAAGGGTAGTGGACTAATTAAACTGACAGAAAAATTTCAAGGCAGTCTAATGTTTAGGTGGTGGCATGGCTATTTTGGGGGATTTTAGCTTGATCTGTGTTGAGAATCAACAGCAAAGAAACCAACAGAATGATTTAAAATGTTGTGAGTTTGATCAGAAAGGAAGCTCCAGGAAAGCTGTGGACCACAAAGATACATCTGAGGAGACTGCAATTGCTAGGAAGAAACAAGTGAATAGAAAAATGATCTGAGGGCATCATAAGAAGCAATAGGACTCTATCTTTTGCAGCCTCCAAACTGAAAAATTGAAAAGCTTTGCTTTGAGGAGAAAGCTTCAGAGCACCATGTTCTAGAGTGGTGGCAGCCTCACCACAAAACAGAATGGTGGAAGCATAGAGAATTTATTACTCAGAATCAGGTTCAGGATGCTCAGCAGTCCAAGTACTGAACTCCTTCAACCAAGAAAGAAAGAAATCTGGATGCTGTTCCAGCTAGTAGCAGAACTCAACACATGGTGTTGGTTTTAAGTTCATGCAGAGTGCAAGAGTTCTGAGGTTAACAAGACTTCCACCTAAAGAGAAAAAAAAGTGACTTCCACCTAGATTTCAGAAGACCTAGGAGGCCAGGCAGTGTGCTTCCGAGAGGGCAATACGTGAAATCATGAGCGTGAAACCAAAGTTGCACTGGAGACTCAGAAATTTGGAGAAAACAGGAACATGGATCATCGTGGGTAACCTGCAAAGAAGGAGCAAAGTGGGCCTAAAAGAGAACCCATGATGGACATAACTATCAGCAGTGCCATGGGACAGAGTCACATAAGCATTCTGGAGCTCACAACTTGCCACAGATTGCTTTGGATGTTCCACATGGAACCACAGCACTTAATGTTTTCCCTGGCGAATTCTGGACTTGCTTTGGTCCCAATGCATTGTTTTCCCCTAGTTGTAACCTTTGGAATGGAAATGCTTACCTTACTTCATTGACTATTGGAAGTGTTTAGCTTTTCATTTGTACAGGGGCTCATAGCTAAGAGTTTGCCTGAGATCTCAAAACTCAACAATAAAAGCAAAATGACAACAACAACAACAAAAACAACAGCAATATAGTTTTTCAAAACATGATGATAAGAATTTAACAATGGTTATTAGACTACATATTGTTATCTTCAAATTAGTTGCTTAGGTTAACAATGCAGGTGTGCAAGACTGACTGATCAAACATGATAATTTCCCTTTAAGCAGTTTCTTTCCCTTTTATTATATCCATTATAACTCTCACATCTTATTTACTCTTTCAGTTTCTTACACTGGTGAGACAATATGATGTTTATACATGCAACTCTGATTTGTTTTACTTATGAGTATGGTTTCTAGTTGCATCCATTTACCTATAAAAGTCTTGAGTTTATCATTCTTTATAGCTGAGTAGTATTGTCTAAAAATACCACATATTTTTATCAGTTCCTCAGTTGATGGACATTTGGGTTATTTCCAAGATTTAGCTATTACAAATTGTGCAGCTATAAACATGGGTTCATGTATATCACTGTTATGATATTTTCAATTCTTCTGGGAAAATACCAAAAAGGTGAGTATCTGGACCTAATGGAACCTCTCATCCTAGGTTTTGAGGAATCCCCACGCTGGTTTCCACAGTGGTTGCATCAGTCTACGCTCCCATGAACAGTGGAGAAGGATTCCTTTTTCCCCACAGTCCCACAATCATTTGTTGTTGGTTGATTTCTTGATGTTAGCCATTGCTTCTGGAGTGAGATGATATCTCAGTGTTGTTTTAATTTACACTTCTTGAATGACCGATGATGTTGAACATTTTTTTGTATATTTATTTTCCATTTGTAATTCTTCATGTGAAAAGTACATATTCATCTCAGATGGATTGTGTCTTTAAATTTGGGGGAGCCAATTTTTTTCAATTGTTTATACATTCTAGATAAAAGTCCTTTGTCTGAGGGACAGTTGGCAAAGATCTTTTCCTTTTTTGTGGATTTTCTTTTCACTCTGTAGGTGATTTCTTTTGATGTGCAAAACTTTTTAATAAAACAGATTACAGTAGTTGAATCTTTGAAGTACTTCTGATGCAGTTTGTTCATGAACTCTTAGCCTACTCCTATGTCCTTGAGATTTCTACCTACTTTATCTTCCAGTAGTGTTTCTATCTTAATATTTAGTGTTTCTGTCTTAATATTTAGATCTCTGATCCATTTTGACTTTAGTGCATGGTGATAAGCATGGGTTGAGTTTAAGTCTTCAGCATGCAGAAAGCCAGTTTTTCAAACACCGCTTGTAAAGAGGCTTTCTTTCTTCCAGTGAACATGTTTGGTCCCTTTGTCAAAAAGAAGATGACTAATTGTCTCTTTTTTGCCAGTACCATGCTGATTTTATTATACCAGCTTTATAGTATAATTTCAACTCTGGGATTGTGATGACTCCTGCTTTGCTTTTGTTTCCAAGGTCTGATTTTGTTATTCTAGGTTCCTTGTGGTTCCATATGAATTCTAGCAACATTTTCTCTAGATTTGTGAGAAAAATGGTATTTCAGTTGTGTTTGCATTAAGTCTGTATAACAATTTTGGGAGTATGGTCATTTTTACAATGTTGGTTCTTCCTATCCATGAGTAAGAAATATCTTTCCATTTTCTAAATTCCTCTTCAATATCTTCTTTCAAAGTACTGTAATTTTCAATGTATAAATGTTTTACTTCCTTTGTTAGATTTTTTTTTAGTACTGGGAATCAAACACATGACCTTGTACTTGCCAGGCAGCTGCTGTGCCACTGAGCTATATTCCCAGCCCCATTTATTAGACTGAGCCCTAAATACATCATTTTTTATCTTATTGTGAAGGGTGTGTTTTCTCTAATTTCTCTCACAGTGAGTTTGTTGTACAGGAATGCTATTGACTTTTTTTGAGACAGTCTCATTTTGCAATTCAGGCTGTCCTTGAATTTGCTTGTATAGCACAGGCTGGTCTCAAACTCATGGCAATCCTCCTGCCTCAGCCTCCTGAGTGCTGGTACTATTAACTTTTGAGTATTGACTTTGTGGATGGCTACGCTGCTGAATTAGCTTATTAATTCTGAAGGCTGTTGGTGGAGTTTTGCAAGTCTTCTATGTAGAGCATCATGTCATCTGTGAATAATGATAATTTAACTTCTTCCTTTCCTGTCTTTAGTCTTTTTATTTCTTTCTCTTATCTGATTGCTCTGGTTAATGTTTCCAGAACTATACTGAATTGGAGTGGAGGCAGTGGACATCCTTGTCTCTTTCCTGCTTTTAGAGTGAAAGCTTTCAGTTTGTCCATTTAGCATGATGTTGGCTGTTGGCTTGTCATAAATGGCTTTTCTCAGATTGAGGTAAAGGCCATCTATTCAGATGTCCTCTAGAATTTTTTTTTTACCATGGATGAATGTTGAACCTTTTCAAAGGTGTTTTCTGCATCTATTGAGATAACTATGTCTTTGGATATTTTGTTCCAGTGATGAGAAAAATGTAACCAAGACAAAGACCTCCACCATGAACCTTGCAGTCACTATAACTGTGAGTGGCGAACCTCTTTCCCCACCTGTATTAAATGGAAAGCCTCATTACCTGTTCACATGTTTGTCCAATTCTTTGCTCAAGATATCAAGGACCAGCGATGAGCCTCCGCAATCCCAGAATCTGGTAACAAAGGGACAGGGCTTCCAGGAAGACATGAAGCATCACAGGCCAGTTGTGTCAGAATTTTAGGAGAAATTTTAAAAATAGCTCTATTTCCCTATTTATTATTTACTTCAATGCATGCATCGCACAGCTTGGCAATGTCATGAGTAGATGAGTTCTTTCAGCTACAGAGTTCTACCCATCCAAAATATTACAATTACTGGAACTTTAGGTCCCTGACATATTGTGCTGTGTCACCCACTGGGCCCCTCCTCTCCCTCCTTCCTGTGTTGGTGTCCAGTTCCGTGTTTTTCTTCCTTAGTAGGAATTGATACAGGGATTAAGAAACGGGGTGGGACATAAAAGCCATAGTCCTCAGCAGTTCAGGGAACTAAAGGACAGTGGTGACCATGGCTGTCCCTGAGACGGCACAGGCACAGAAGCCTGGCTATCTGGGTCAGGCTGGGCTGGGACTCCTGGGGCTCAGGGAGGGCTCGGGAAGTGTCTCAGGTCTCAGCCTGACTTGATGCTCTGCTCACTTAGATGAGGAACAGCTGATAAGTAGCAGACCCAGCTATGCTATCAGTGGATCTGGATACCGACTGGCTTCTGTGCTCAACAGCCTTGCAGGTAGTGCACTGTCAGGGGCCGAGGAGGGATGGACAGCTCCTGCCAGAGATTAGAGTCTGGGAGAAATGAACGCTGAGACTCTGGACCCGGGGTCCTTAGTGGGGTGGTCCCTAGGCTTTGGATTTGGGGAAAGGGGTAGCTAGTAACAATCTCCTGTGCCAGCCTGAGGCAGGGACACTGGGGTACTGGATTCCCCTCCTCCTTCTTTCCTGCAGGCTGTCACCTCCACCACCCCATTCCCCTGGTCCTGAAGCTGCTCTTACTCACAGTCTTCTCTGGGATCTTGGTGGCCATCCTTGCCCAAGGTCAGAGCAGGGCTCAGGGTCGGGGTTCCTTCAGTGGGGGTGGGCAGGTCCAGGAAAGAAGTGGGTCTCAAACTGAATCGGGTTCTCCAGAGGTTCCTAGGAGCTTCTCAGGGCCTCTTCCACCTCTCCTGGAGCAAAGGGGAAGAGGAGACCTAGAAGAGGTCCTGGCTCCATTGTCTTGGGGTTCAGCTTTCTCTGCGAGTCACTTTTCCTAGTCTTCACAGAGGAGGAAACAAAATGTCCTCGCTGAACCACTGTGCAGGGTGTCATGCGCAGTAGGTGATTAATAACCACAGTTTTTTTTTCCCCTTGGTGCAGTCTTCAGTATCCCCAGCAGGCAGGAGTATGAGCAGGACCAGTTACAGCGGAAGCAGTTCTACAAGGAAATTGCTCAGATGAAGGACACAATAAGTGAGTGGCAGGAAACTGGACCTCCAGGGACCTGAGAGGGCCTGGGCTTCAGGTCACTTTGCTTGCATCATCCATCCTTTTTGAGCCCAGTTTGCTTGTCTGTGAATTGGGGAAACAGGGCAACAGACAGGATGATGCTAGTTTTTCACAGGGAAACACACACACAGTAGGAACTCACTAAGCCAGTTCTCTGGTCTTTCTTCTGACACTCGGGGTACTTACTTCTCTCAGCCTGGGGAAGGTGGGGCCAAGATTTCTTGGGTTTCCTGGGCAGGGAAGGGGCTCAGGAAGTGGTTAGGGAAGTGGCTGCACTGCAGTGCTGAGTCAAAGAGGGTCCTGGGACATGAAGCCTGAACAAGGACATCCAAATGTGAGTCCATCCTGACCACGTCTCCCAACAGACAACCTGTGCCGTCCCTGCTCCTGGGACTGGACATTCTTCCAAGGAAAATGCTACTTCTTCTCCAAGTCACAGAAGAGCTGGCATGACTCGATTACTGCCTGCAAGGAAGAAGGGGCTGAACTGGTCATCGTAGAGAGTGCTGAGGAGCAGGTACTTGTGGTTTGGGCAGGGGGTCTTAGTCTGAGTGCTGGCCAGCTCTGGGGGAGATGACTGATCAGAGCTGACTTTTCTGGAGTAGGGTTTGCTCCATGCCCTTAGAAAGAGAGGAGGAGAAGGGTGTCGTGAGCAGGTCCCATGGGCCTTGTATGAATTCATAAACAAGCTCTCAACATGGATGCTGGGTTTGTGGAAAATCAAAATGATTCCTGCTTGTGTGTGTGGGGTGTGTGTGCCAGTGTTTGAGAATTTCCTTGCTCGTAGGAAAAACTCCCTGTGTCTTGTTTGCCAATTTCCCTGGTATAAATATTACCACAGAGGCTTATTTCAAACCATGGAAGGACATTAAATGCAGACCTGAAAAGAAGTGGTGTGTATGACCAGCCATTATGGAATGGTCTGATCTTTTAGCTGAACATTAACCTATTTCTTGAAAAAAAAATTTATATAGATGAGCTCAGCCAAATAACACCTCTTATTACCAAGTGGCTTTGCTAAAGATCAGCTGTGGGCATTCTGTGTGCAAGGGATGAAACATCTGCCCACACTGTGCAGCTGTGAGAGGGACTCAGACCTGCAGAACATACACAACAGCTCGTGGACTTGATACTGCAGAGGTTGGCAGGACAGGCGTTAAGGAGAACTTCCTACCATGAAATTTAGTAGTTGTAAACTAGAAAATAGGGTACAGTGCTCCCTCCTGACTCCTCCTACCCTCCTCCAGAGCTTCCTGCAGCAGACCTCAAAAAGCAAAGGCATCATGTGGATGGGGCTCTCAGACTTGAATAAAGAAGGCACATGGCACTGGGTGGATGGCTCGCCTCTGTCAGGCAGGTAGGTACAGGGAGATGAGGATGCCTTGTAGGGTGAGATGGGCTTCTGAAACCCTAGCTTCAGCACTGGAGGATCCTTCCCAGTCCATGCCCCACCTAGGTTTAAGAATCTTGGACATTTTCCGCACTGAGCAGCTGGCAGGTCATACCACCTACAGATAGGGTGATGAATGCCTAGAATTCCACCACCAAAGCTGCAGGAAGAGCTGGATGCCTATGATTTAAAATACAATGTATTAACAGAACATCTGAAGAATCATAGGGGAAAAGATTAGAGGACTATTGCTGTCAGAAAGATGGATGATTAAGGCACATATATCCCAACACAGGGCACATCATCACACCAAAGCAGTCACATGAGGACCAGCTAGGAGGCAGACAGTGAGGAATGGTGGACAAGGGCTGTCCTTCTGGTGTCCACAGGAAGGAGAAGGTGAGGCAGGGGAAGTGTATCCAGGATCAGTTTCTTTTGAACGCTAGTGAGCTCTAGGTGAGAGAGGTTGTTCCTAGTCATCTGGTTCCTGGCTCTGGACAGACTTAGATTGGCCCAGACTGCAACTGACCAATAAGGAAGGTGGGTGAGACTGTGAGCTCCAGCTTGCTTGGGCTGGATCTGAAGATCACATCCTCAGAGCAAGGGCTCCTCTGAGGCGTGAGAGACAAGGCTCAGGGTCACAACAGGCCAGGGGGGACTCAGGCAAGGGGATCCAGATCAAGGCATGTCTGCCCCATGCACACAGGATGGGTACTGAGTAACCAGCACTAGAAGTCTGGTTCCCACAGAGGGGCTGCGCATAGACTCATGTTGTGAATGGGCTTTGCAGCTTTGCAGACTACTGGAATAAAGGGGAGCCCAACAATGTTGGGGGGGAAGACTGTGCGGAATTCAAGGATGACGGCTGGAATGACAGCAGGTGCGAAAACGCCAATTTCTGGATCTGCAAGAAGACTGCGAAATCTTGCTCCCAAAACTGACACCCCGAACCTCTGTCCAATCCCAGCAGCTCCACCACACCTGCCAGGTAGCCGAATTTTACCCCCATTGATCCTAGCTCCTTCTCCTTATCTGTTGGACCAGAGACATCAGCAATGGCTCTGTAAATCTTCTCTGCCATCCTTCTTATCTTCATGGGGCTCAGTTATTGCCATCTTTATCCTAGGCCACCAGATTCCCCCTGGCTTGGTGGGTATGATTCCGGCCCATTGAGATGGCATGGGAGATGTTAAGAACTGGGGTGTACTTTCCTCTAGTCTACACTGTCTTGATAAGGGGTAGCTGCTGACGGGTCTCTGTATGGATTTACCCGACCCCTGCCTGCTGCCCCCCAGTATGCTGCACTTCCCTTCACCTGCCCTGCACCGCTTAGCCTGGGGACTCTCTATGGTTGCTCCAGTGCATCCTGCAGGTTATGAATATCATTGCATTAATCCTTCAGTTCATCCATGACTGTCTGGATTGGTGGACAAGTACCTGCATCCCTCCTTCCTCGGTGATTCTATGGCAGACCCTGCAATGGGTCTCCCAAATCTCTCTTCCAGGAAGGGCATCTTACCCAGCTGCTAGGAGTCCTCTCTAAGGTAGCCCATTCCGACCTATGGATACCTGTTTCTGCAGTGCTGGCCTTGACCCTGATACACCTCACATTTGTCTAGGATAATGAAGATCTGACCGTGCTGGTCAACACAGGGCACCTCTGAAGGATCGCTCCGATCTCAGAGCTCCCCATGGAGCCGGCTGTGGCTACTATCACACTTCCTGTTCTGGGCTTGTCCTCCTGTCCCTTCCTGCTTTCTTCCCGGCAATGAAATTAAAAATATATTAGATTTTAGTCTACATTCCTGAGTGATAGGGATGTCTTTGGTTATTCATAATCAGGCCTACAGATAACATAGGAATGTATGCTAAGGAGGTGACACGTGTCACCAGATGGACAAAAAAAAAAAAAAAAAAAAAAAAAAAAAAAAAAACCCTAGGTAGAGGGATAGAATTTCCAATCCCGACCTCCTTCCTCCAGGAAGGAGTGTAAAGAGTAACCTCTCTGAGAACTCTGAACAGGAGATTTGCTGAGTCCCACGATGCTGCTACCCAAGGTCCGGATCCCTGTAGATGGATGATGAACACACACATCTCTGGGCTTCCTTTGTTATGAGCATCTCTTGGCTCCTCCCGAGTTGTTTCTTTTATAATAAACCACTTAACATAAACAGAGTTGTCAGAGATTCTGTGAGTTCACTGGAAAATCACCAGGTTTGGAACAGGTTGTTGGAAACCCTGGTCTAGCTGGCTGGACCGAAGCTTGGTCAGTCTAAGTCACCTTATGCAGCTGACCACAGAAGAGAGTCAGCTTGGGACTGAGCTGTTTACCTAGTAGAGTCCAGCGCTGTCTTTGTGATGGGAATTGGAGGACTGCTTGATAGAAAACAAGCCCCTAGCTTCTTGTCTCTCCCACCACTGTGACACCAAAGATGCTCCTTCATGCACACCTTGCAAGGCAGATTCCATCTCTCTGAGATCCAGTCTTCCGCAAGGCTTGGTCGTTCTGAGCTTCTCCATGGTTTTCTTTTCTTTTTCACTGCTTTCTGCCCATGGCTTGGATTTTTTTCCCTTCTGTAAATTTTCTATTGATTTGGCTCCTTTTTATTTTTTGTTAGTTTCCAGGGATTATGGACATGAGATCTGTCCTCTGTCATGGAACAAAATATAGTCGACCTCACTTGGCTTTGTGGTCACTCTAGACTGAGGGCAATTCTGCACCGTGTGATTAAGTAGCATAAAGTTTCTAATCCTCAGGACAGCAGAGCTTGTTTGTGTACAAAGGAATTGCTAAAGAAAGCAGAAAAGGAAGGCATAAAACGGGTTGGCTATTTCCAGTCACTTTCCTTGCCAGTCAGCGAGTGAGACCAACAACAGAAGGATAACTGACTTGTAAACAATCACTTCAGGACTTTTGTTAAAACTAGCCGGCAGGCTGAGGCAGGAAGATCGCTGTGAGTTTGAGGCCAGCCTGGGCTGCAAAGTGAGTTCAAGACCAGCCTGCACCTCATAGTGGTATCTTGTCTCAAAAAGAAAAAAAAAACACTCTGCTTTGAAAATTCAGCTGTTAACCCTCTAATGCTGATTTTCAAGATTTGAGGAAATAGCATTGTTTCAGGCTCATGAAGAGAAACTAGAATAATGACTTTTGTGTGTCTGTGTCTGTTTTATTTTTGTGTGTGTGTGTGTCCATATGTTCTTGTTTATTTTTGCATTTTGTCGTTGTTGTCATTGTAGTAAGGTGGCTAGGTGTTGATGCCTCTCTTCTAATGAAAGCATTTAGGTGAAGGAGCTTCACTGGTACAACTGACTTAGCTGCATCCTACATATTTTATATGGGGATCTTTCATTTTTTTATTCTAATTTTTTCTGTTTTGAAAATAAAACATGACAACAACAACAAAAGAATAAAAATTATACAGAATTTCAAAATAAAAATAGGAAAGTAAGACTAGTTAATATATTGCATATTGTTATCTTCAAAGTAGTTGCTCAGATTACAAGATATAGGCATGAAAATATTGAAAAGTCAAACAATGAAAGCATAAACTATTCTTTTTTGATGAACTGAGATAAGTAGTAGAGTTATCTGTCTATCTGTCTGTCTGTATATTTTTTCCCTTCCTTCTTTTCTCCTTTCCCCAGTCCCAGTTATTCTTTCCTTTTGAACACTTATTTTCCCTTTCATTTGCACATGTGTTGTACATTTTGGATCTTATATACCCTTTCAGTGTTTTTACACTAGAGAGACATACAATATTTACACGTATGAGCCTGATTTATTTCCCTTCTGGGTATGGCCTCAAGTTGCATCCATTTACCTAGAAAAGCTTCAAGGTTACCCTTATTTATAGCTGAGTAATACTCCATTGTATAAAAATACTATATCTTCTTTATCCATTCCATGGTTTCCAAGATTTAGCTATTAAAAACTATGCTGCTACTTTTTGTACATCAAAAGGAATCACTAACAGGGTGAAAAAATTCACAAAATGGAAAAAAGTTTTAGCCAACTGTCCCTCAGACCATGGACTTATATCTAGAACATATAAAGAACTGGAAAAAATCAGATCCCCCAAATTTAAAGACCCAATTCAAAAATGGGCATCTGAGATGAATGTGTACTTCTCAGATGAAGAAATACAAAATGGCAAATAAATATGTGAATAAATTTCAGTATCACTGGTCATTCAAGAAATGCAAATGAAAAGAACACTGAGATTCCATCTCACTCCAGAAAGAACGATTGTCATCAAGGAATCAAGAAATAACAGATGCTGGCAGGCTATGAGGAAAAAGGTACCCTGCTCCAGTGTTGGTGGGAGTGTAGACTGGTGCAACCACTGTGGAAATCAGTGTGGAGATTCCTCAAACAAAAATAAAAACAGGGTTGGAAGTCCCATTCAACACAGCTATTTCCCTTCTGGATATTTTCCCAGAATAGTTGCAAACACATGTCATGAATCTATTTGATAACAATGACTGACTTTCCACAGTCAGTAAGTGTACAAAATCTTTTGCTGAAGTGTATTGCAGATCTTTTAATCTATAAACTACTATTTTAACAGCAGTAATATAAATATAGCATCTTACACATTTTAATATTCCAGAAGAGTAACAATTAATGTTGCCTATCAGGCTAGGCTTCTTGTGTTCAATTCAGCCAGAAACCATTAACTAGCTAAGCACATCTCTGCTACAGTCCTTAAGCCACCAAATGACGTCAGGTAATGCCAGATACCAAAGGTTGACACGGTCCTTCACTGTCAATGCTGACCAGAACATGCTGACCTGTCCTGGATGCCACAGCTCAGCTCAGCTGGTCTCTGCTGCTGATACTCACTGGCTGCTGGTCTCTGGAGTTCTTCAGTGCTAACAACTCCTCATGTTTATTGCTCATTCTTTGATCACTTTGTCTACACAACTCAGAATAAAAATCCCAAATAGATTTACATGGCATTTGGAGCCCACACTACCCAAGAAATAAATAATGGGCAGTTTTTCAGGATCACCAAAGTGATTTTTTGTTTTAATAGGCCTGGACTGCAACACAGGAGGTCAGTACAGTGGAAGGAGCACTTCTAGACTGACCTTAAAATATACAGGAGATTCTTCTTAGATAATAGCTGCAGGCTTAGATAATAGCTGCAGCCCAGCACAGGCTTGTGATTGGTGCAGTGTTGTAAGCCTTGGCTATCATGATGTGGCAAGGTTGAAACCAGGTTGAATCAACTGGATAGTTTGCTGAGAGTTAAAGATGCTCACAACAGGCCCAGACCTTCTCCCTCCCCTAGCTTAACCACTGGAGAAGGCCATGTCCCTCTTCAAAAGGTCAACCATAGGCGCTCAAGTGATGGGACTGGGGGAGGGGCACCACCCTGACAGCTGAGCTTATTCCTGTTGGCGTGCAGTGGGAGAAAGTAGCCATGGTGAACTCCAAACAACTTGTCCCGAACCATTGGTAGGGGCAAAAGGGTACAAGGAAAGCGAAGGGAAGGTGCATGACAGCTGCCAGCTAACCCACTTCTGGGAGAGCCCAGAGCCTCTGGTCTGTCTCATAGGGGCACACGGCCAATGTACAACCATTACTAGCAGCCACCCCACCAAACTCTCCATTTCACACAACCGAAACTCTGCATCCACCACACATGGCTCTCCAGTCACCCCCTGGGACTCCCCATTCCATTTTCTGTGATACAAATGTGTGGTTGAATTGGTCCCTTGGCTGATTGCTTGGCTCTTTGGTTAGTTGGTTGGCAAGTTGGTGGGCAGGTTGGTGGGTTGATTAGTTGGTGGGTTCTTCCTTATTTTGAGGCCTCCATGTCTGGCAGACACGCAAAACACTCACAGATCTGGTAGACAGTTCTTACTCAAATCCAGTGGATAGATAACAGTTAAGGATCACATGAAGGGAATGCTTCCAGCAACTCTGCAGTAAGAATGAAGTTTTCTGTGATTTTTATTCCAAACTCAAGATGAATTTTACCAGAAAGAGGGACTGGAAACTGATAGAGAGGGGAATAGGAAAATCATCTGTAGGCTAAAATGCTTTATAGTTTGATCAGAGTACTGGCTGATGGGTGTGTTCATACATATGCCAGGGTCTCCAGCTGTATATTAAAAATATGTCCTTGTGCCTTCCGTGTGTTCCCTCTCAATTTAATTATTCACAAATAGATGCTTGCATTATGGTAAGGAGTTCATGCTCCACTATCATGTTAAAACATCAATTTATTTCTATTTTACTAGAAATTTTTTAAGGTAAATCATGCTTCAGTTTCGGGTTTTGATAAATACTTTTATTCATCTCATGGAAGACTAACCTTAAACTGTGAAGTAGTATAATAGATGTCCTGGTCGAATTTATGTGTTGGTGAAGAAACTATTTCATCCTAGTGTACATAGGTGGAGAGACATGGAAATCCCCAGTTCAGCCATTGTTAAGGGGTGCCTCCTTGGTGACATATCCCCTTGTGCCTGTACCCAGAGTCAGAGGATGTGGCTGGAATACCTCTTCATCTCTGAAGGCTTCCTTCAAAAGATTCCAAACTTTGGTCACCAGATACTACCTGACTGAGGGACATTCTAGAAAAACACTGACCTGATATCCTCAGAAAGGTCGAGATCATTAAAAGAAAGCAAGTCAGAGACACTGATAGAGCCCAGAAAAGGCTGAGGAGATGTGACATCTACACATAATGTATGAGAGTCAGGAAAGAATCATCACACAAGGAGAAAAACAGCAAAATTCAAATGACTCGTCGAGGTTCTTGAGTGTGTTTGTCATATCTAAGGTGTCAACATGGGTGCATTCCCCATCAGGGCACCTGTTGGTATGTGGAAGGCCAGCACTAGGGGAAACAGAATGAGGATATGAGAAATCTCCAAACTATTGTGGCAAAATTTGCACCATTAAACCACTGTGGAGGTCAGTCTGGAGATTCCTCAAAAAGCTGGGATTAGAGATCCCATTTGACCCAGTTATTCCACTTCTAGGCATATTTCCAGAAGAAATGAAAACATATGTGCACCCATGTTTATAGCAGCACAATTTGTAATAGCAAGATCTTGGAAACAACCTAAGTGTCCATCAACTGAGGAATGGATAAAAAAGTTGTGGTATTTTTAGACAATGGAGTACTACTCAGCTATAAAGAAGGATCACATTGAGATATTTATAAATAAATGGGCGCAGCTTGAGACCATACTCATAAGCGAAATAAATCAAACTCACATGTATAAAAACCATATAGTTTCTCTAGTGTAAGAAATGGTAACAATACATAAGATTTTATGGTAATCATGATTCCCCATTACATTGCTTTGAAGCTTTATGTTTTCATTCATTAGTTGGAATGGTTTTGTCCTGGTTTGTTTGATTTTATTATCTGTGATGGTATGAATAGCTATTTTGAAGAAAACAAGACATTATAATAACCAGTGCTGATTTAGTATCATCTTTGAATTTAATATCATTTAATATCTGCTTTGAAGTCCTACCATGCTTTTGTTCTTCTGTTTCCATTGGTTCTATCATGTTGTATCTTATTGGATTTTATTATAAGTGATAGTATAAACAAAATTTCTATGGAAAATTAGATAATATAGTAGCCATTGCTCGTTTTCAGTTATTTGGTTCTGAATGCTCTGTAATACTTTCATTCTCTTGAATAGTTTTATACCACTTTGTTATGTTTGATACTACTGTATGTGAAGGTATGCTCACCTATTTCAAAGAAAGAGACATCATTGTAGCTACTGTTAATCACAGGTTGTCTTGTGAAATACTGTGTTGCTTACATTGCTCTGTTCTGATCTGCTTTATGATGTCCTATTTTGTCTTAATCTCTTTAAAATAAAAAACGTTTTTAAAGAATTTGTACCATTAGGAAACAATCTAGAATATTTATATAAATAATAATAATAAATGCGACATTTTCACAATTTCATCAGAATGCATGTATGTACATGGATCATTAAATTGAGATATAATGCACAGATTATACAATGAACAAAATCTTCAATATATATCTCAACACATTTTTCTGTATAAACACACCCTTTCCTCAAATCATAGAATATTCTTTTAATATTTTTTTTAATTTTATTTAAGGAGAAGAGAAAAAGGGTATAAGTTACAGAATTTCAGAAAAAAATAAACAGTAGTTATTAATCACTAGTTAATGGATTACATATTGTCATCTTAGAAATATTTGCCATAGAACATTCTTAACTCATGGAAGATTCCCTATGGATCCTCCTCATCAATTCTCGTTCCTGGTAACCTGCTTTTAAGGAGTTTGTATCAAGATTCATACTTCTGGCTCTCGAAGTGGAAAAAATTTTTGTCCAATCTTAGGTTAGGCATCCTCTGTGTCTGAATATGTCCACTCTTTTGAGAGATTGGTTCATTGGTGTTGTTATATGAAATTAATAATTTTTTCCACTCTCCTCATGGTAACCACCTCAGTTTTTCTTTTCAGCTTGGGAGATTCTGCTTAAAACTTCAGAAATCTTTTGCTGTTTTTTTTTTTTTTTTTTGAGCCTATGTGACTGTCTCTCTGATTCAGCTGTGCACGGTAGATGCTGACAATCTAGGCTCAGATTCAAGCTTCATGCTGTTTATTAGCTGTGTGCATTTGAGCCAATTAACTGACCTCTTTGAGCTTCAAATCCAGCCAGCTATAAAATGGAAGTCAGATCATGTACCATGTACACAGCTGGGAAGATTAGACAAGCACACATACAAAGCAGTTAGGAAACTATCTGACCGTAGAAGGATGTTTCCGCCTCATTGCCATGAATCAGCAGAAATTACCATCAATGAGGATGTAAAGAAGCCAAGATATTCAAGCCTGGGGTGAGAAGCGACAGTATTTCTGGAAAAACTGGGTTAGTTGCTAGCCCACCCTCAACAGTGTTGGAGAAGAAATTAAGATTTAGCTTGATTTCTCAATTTAGAGATTTGTTTCAGTAAATACATCTCACGGCTTGGCAATGCCATGAGTGGGCAAGTTCTTTCACTGACTGGGCTCAGACCACTCCAGTCCCTGCCTAAGGTTACTGGAACACAAGGTCCTTGCTGCATCGTGTGCACAACAGCCTGGGCCCCACCTTCTCATGGCTTCCTGTGTTGATGTCCAGTTCCCTGTTTCTCTTCCTGCGAAAGTCGATTCAGGGAGTGAGGAACAGAGAGTGGGATACAAACACTGTGTTCTCTAGCTGCTCGGGGCACTGAGGGACACTGGTGACCATGACTGCTCCCGAAGAAGCACAGACGCAGCTGCTGGACCCCCTGGGTGAGGCTGACCTGGGACTCTGGAAGTTTGGGGAGAGGTCAGGAGGGGTCTCAGGCCTCAGCATGGCTTGATGCTCTGCTCACTCAGAAGAGGAACAGCTGCTAAGAGGTGGCAGCTTATAGGGAGTGAACCAGCCTGGTTACTGACCAACCTCTGTATTCAATAGCTTTGCAAGTAGAGCAGTGACAGGGCTGAGGATGAGTACACAGCCCCTCCTAGATATTGGAGTGTGGGAAAGAAGAGGCTCAGATTCTGCAGTGTGGGTCCTCGGGAATGCAGCTCCTAGACTTTGGATATGGGAACAGTGGGAGCTAGTGGTGACACTGCCCCTGTGCCAGGCTGAGGCAGGGACACTGGGGTACTGGATTCCCCTCCTCCTTCTTTCCTGCAGGCTGTCACCTCCGCCACCCCATTCCCCTGGTCCTGAAGCTGCTCTTACTCACAGTCTTTGCTGGGATCTTGGTGGCCATCCTCGTCCAAGGTCAGAGCAGGGCTCAGGGTTGGGGTTCCTTCAGTGGAGGTGGGAAGGTCTGGGAAAGAGGTGGGTCTCAAACTGAATCGGGTTCTCCAGAGGTTCTAGGAGCTTCTCAGGGCCTCTTCCACCTCTCCTGGAGCAAAGGGGAAGAGGAGACCTAGAAGAGGTCCTGGCTCCATTGTCTTGGGGTTCAGCTTTCTCTGCAAGTCACGTTTCCTAGTCTTCACAGAGGAGGAAACAAAATGTCCTCAACGAACTGCTGTGCAGGCTGTGGTATGCAGTAGGTGATTAATAACCACAGTTTCTTTTTCCCCTTGGTGCAGCCTCCAGTGTCCCCAGCAGGCAGGATTATGAGCAGGACCAGTCACAGCAGAAGCAGGCCTACCAGGAACTGGTTCAGATGAAGGACACAATAAGTGAGTGGCAGGAAACTGGACCTCCAGGGACCTGAGAGGGCCTGGGCTTCAGGTCACTTTGCTTGCATCATCCATCTTTTCTGAGCCCCAGTTTACTTGCCTGTGAATTGGGGAAACAGGGCAACAGACAGGATGGTGCTAGCTTTTCACAGGGGACAGCCCAAGCAGTAGGAACTCAATGAAGCCAGTTTCCTGTTCTTTTTTCTGACATCCAAGGTCCTTACTTCTCCCAGCCTGGAGAAGATGGGGCCAAGATTCCTGGGGTTTCCTGAGTAGGGAAGGGGCTCAGGAAGTAAACAAAGAAGTGATGGCCCTCGGAAGCTGAGTCCGGGGTGAGGCCTGAGACACGAAGCCTGAACAAGGACATCCAAATGTGAGTCCATCCTGACCACGTCTCCCAACAGACAACCTGTGCCGTCCCTGCTCCTGGGACTGGACATTCTTCCAAGGAAAGTGCTACTTCCTCTCCAAGTCACAGCGGAACTGGCACGATGCGATCACTGCCTGCAAGGAAGAAGGGGCTGAACTGGTCATCGTGGAGAGTGCTGAGGAGCAGGTACTTGTGGTTTGGGCAGGGGGTCTTAGTCTGGGGTGCTGGCCAGCTCTGGGGGAGATAACTGATCAGAGCTGGCTTTTCTGGAGTAGGCTTTGCTCCATGCTCTTGGAAATGGAGAAGAAGGGTGTGGTGAGAGGGTCCCACAGACCTTGAAGGATTCATATACAAGTTCTCAACATTAGTAAATGCTTTGATCCATGGAATGTGGCTCATGTTGATGTGTGGGCCATTGTTTAAAAACTTATTCTGTCAGGGGAAAAAAGGCCCTATGAGTCATGCTTGCCAATTTCTCCAGTGTAAATATTACCACAGGGGCTTATTCAACCCATCAATGGGATGTGATTAAATGTAGACCTGAAAAGTGCATGATGAGTGGTCATGAAGTAGGATAATCTTGAGCTCGATCATGGGTAAATTTGATGGCAATGCTCAGAGCAACTGTAAGACAGTAAACATGTGGCATGACCTAGGGTGCATGATGAAAGACCAGATGTGGACATTCTGCGTGCAAGTCAGAACACACCGATGCTGGCGGGCTCAGACCTCCTGAGCACACCTGGCAGAGTAGAAGGCTGAAGTCCAACATAAGGGAAACTTCTTGCCATGAGCTTTGGGACACTCTAACTGAAAATGAGCCACAGTGCTCCTTCCTGACTCTTCCTCTGCCTTTCCAGAGCTTTCTGCAACAGATCTCAAAAAGTAAAGGCCGCACCTGGATAGGACTCTCGGACCTCAATAAGGAAGGGGTGTGGCACTGGGTGGATGGCTCTCCTCTGTCAAACAGGTTGGTCCGGGGAGATGAGAGCACCTTGTAGAGTGGGGTAGAGTTCTGAACCTTGGCTTAGGTGTACCTTTGGTTCCCTGGTCCATGCCACTCAGACCTTAGGGTCTTTGACATTCTTGAGTTCATCCTCATACGGGTCATACCCACCTGCAGATAGGATGGCTGATGACTAAAATCCCACCATCAGAGGTGTGGGAGAAGCTTGTAGCTTGTATACATGATAGAAAATATCACACAGGCATGGAAAATGTTATGTACAGTAAGAAAACAGATCAGGAGCCAATTCCCATTGGAAAGGTGCATTGCTGTACTCAGAGATCCCAAGACAGAGAGTGCATATCCCATGCCTGTGACCTTTTGGTGAAGGATCAGGGCTATGAAAACAGCAGAGGGTGGAGAAGTCTTGGGCAGCAGCCTTACGGCAGTGCCATGGAAAGGAACAGGTGAGACAGGGTGCTCAGACTTAGTATTGGTTGGTTTAAGAGGTCTGGGATTTCTGTGATGTAGAACCACCCAACCCTTGTGGTCTGGTACTTTGTGCCCTGGAGAGGCACAGAGTATCCCATAGTGACAGAGTCCCATCAGAGTTCTTGTAGTGTGGAATCTCAACTGGTTGATTTGTATCTGAGGATCACAGCCTCTGAAGCATAGTGGGTAGGAAGCTCACTACAAGCCCAAGGGACCCAGGCATGTCCTTGGGTGTCTGGAATGAGACCTGTCTACCATATGCATGGAAGGCAGATGGAAAGTATTCATCTTTTGACACCTGTAGACACAGAGTGCAGGCAGGTCTGGAGCAGAGAATCACATGCTTATGGCCCTTTTCAGCTTCAAGAAGTACTGGAACAAAGGAGAGCCCAACAGTTCCGGGGAGGAAGACTGTGCAGAATTCAAAGGTGATGGCTGGAACGACTCCATATGTAGTCACAAGAAATTCTGGATCTGCAAAAGGCCTGCAAATTCCTGCCCTGGGGAGTGAGGGTCAGTTCCCCTCTGCAGTCCTTTGGAGAAACAGTATTTTACCCACATGATTCCTGCTTCTTCACCTCATCAATTGAGGAGGGTGTGAACTTTACCAATGTCTCTGAGACTGGTCTGCACAGCAGACTTCAACCCTTGAGCTCTGGGGTCCTCTGTGACATTCCTGGATTCCTTTTGACTCAGTGGTTGCTTGGACCCATCTTTGCAATTTAACACAGTGACCATGTGTGGAATAAATTCAGAGGCTCGGTGTATTGCGTTCATCTCTGCCCTCTCTCCTTGGTGAGATCACAGTTTGCAGAGCCATTCATAGGCTCTACCAGATCCCCTGAGGCTCTACTCTAGTCCTGCCATCTGCTTGCACCCTTGTGTTTGGGTCTTCTCTCATTTGGGTCTTCTCTGTAGCTCATCCCACAGATTGGAAGTCTCTGATCAATCAATGACTGCCAGGAGTTGGCATGTAAGTACCCAGCTCACTCTACCCTTATTCACACACCAGTGGACCCTAGCATGGGTCTCCCAGATTCCTTTTCAACAAAGGACCTGCTGTTCCACCTGGTGGGAATGGATGCATCCAGCTGTCACCTGTCTATCTGTCCCTACTCACCTAGACTCTGCTACAGCATGACGCCTTCTCTGAAGTCAAGGTCCTTTCACATGTGCAGGATGGTGAAGCTCCTACCATGCCAGGCCAACATGGTGCATCTTTGAAGGACCATTTCAGTTCCAAAGCTTCCCATGGTGCCAGCTGTGGCTGCTGTGAGACTTCCTTTGCTGGCTGTGTCCTTCTGCCCTTTCCTGCTTTCCTTCTGTGACAAAAATTGAAATATACACTAGGTCTTTGCCTGGATTCCTCAGGGATGGGGGTGTCTTTGGTTATTCACAGTTAGTCCTATGGATCATACATGAACTTATGCCAATGAGGTGACGCAAGGCAAGGTCTTTAGATAACCTCAGCATGGGACTGGTAATCAGAGAAAATAAATACATGGCTGAACGACTGCAAGTGTCCACCTCAGCCACTTAACTCAAGGGAGAGGGTGTTGAAATTGATGGCAAGGGGATTTAGTGAGTTACCACACTAGTGAACACATCTGGCATTGCATGGAGACCCAAGGCGTCCTCACTCTTCTGCTGTCCTAAGCATCTCTTCCACTTGACTCTCTCTGAGTCTGTAAGATAAACCACTAACTATAAACTGACTGTTGCTGTGAGTTCTTGGAAAGTTTAGAGGGGGGTCTGGGAAAACCCAATTTGTGTCTGGTTTGGCAAAAGCATGATTAGTCTGGAAACCCCTTAGGCACCTAATGCCTGAAGAAGGTTCAGTTGTGGGACTGAGCTTTCTAACCTGTGGAATCTGATGTTAACTCTTTGTAGTCAGAGTTGGAGGACTGCTTGGTGAAAAACAGATTCTCAGGCTTCCTGGGTTTGTGATACCACGAATGTTCCTTTGCAAGCAACTCACATGCTGAGAGCCAATCTTTAGCAAGATTTTGTTTCTCTGGGCTTCTCTATTGTTTTCTGTTTTGCTGCATTCTGATCTTACCTTCTTAATTTCCTTCCTAATGTTTCTTTTGGATTGATTTAGCTCTTCTTTTTGTGAATATCTTAGGATTATTGATGTGAGATATTTCTTCTGTTAGAGGACAAATTACAATTTAGTTGATCTCAGGGGGCTTTATGGACAATTCTAGAATAACGTAACACCACATTCCATAAGACAGGATGATATTTTCAATTCTCAAAACAATGGAACTTGATAGCATAGGAAGGGTTACCAAAATGCCCATCAACCAAGGACTAGATAAAAAAGATGTGGTATTTTTATACAATGCAATACTCCTCAGCTATAAAGAAAGATAAATGAGACATTTATAGGGAAATAGATGCAATTTGAGACCATACTCAGAAGTGAAATAACTTAGACTCACATGTGTAAACACTGTTGTGTTTATTCATTGTATTCGTAGTGTAAGGAGCTGAAAAAGTAAATAAGATACAAAATATACAATAGATCTTGTGGAATGGGAAGAAATTGTTCAAAAGAAAAGAAACTGTGATGGGCAGAAGGACCAAAGAAGGAAGGGAAAAGGAAAAAATACATATATACCCAAGATAGTTAAGATAGTCATACTACGAACTGCTGTAAATTCAGTGAAAAGAAAGGTTTGTGTTTTATTGTTTGAACAATTTTTCATGTTGTTCATATATCTTGTAATATGAACCACGACTTTGACGATAACAATAGGCAATGTTCTAACCACTGTTATTGTCATTTTGACGGTTCATACCATTTTTATTGTTTTTTTCTTTAATAAAAAGGAAGAGTCAAGAAAAGCAGAAACAAAATATGGAAAGAGGGTTGATCATTTCACAAGTTATTTTTCTTGAAAGTCAGAAACAGGAACAGAGAGCAGAGCAATGAGTATGGGTTTATTTCCAGGAGTTACTTCAGGTGACCCGCTGTGTGTAAGGATGAGGGCAGAGAGAGCCTCCTGTTCAAGCCCACTGGACATTCATGGGACAGAACCCATGCAGGCCACCCCAGGCAGGTCCTTAACTTCTTATCAGCACCATGTTGTGGAAGAGTATTTCAGGGTTGCTTCCATGAAAGCACAGGCAGGTTTACTTGGTGCATTTAGAAAGTCTGAGAGAAAGGGAAAGAACTTCAGCTTGAAGAACTAAAGAGGGCACGGCTCTGATAAGCAGATCCTACTGACCCATTATGAGGAAAGAAGCCAGTTTTTGTAGAGGTGTTAAGGTGAGCTGGGGTCCGTTTGATCATTGTCTCAGCTCTGTTTTTACAAGGTGGCTCTGGAGAGGGTCTTTGTTGCTTGAGAGGGCAATTCTGTCTCTGTGAGTTACTTGGCAATTTGTCTTATTAAATCTCTGCTGAGATTCAAGGTGCCTGCAGGTTTGGGGAAAGGACTGGTATCTGCGGGGCACTACTGAATATTCCTGTAAATAACTTACCTTGATACGCTCAGTCTTGAGGAGAGGTGAGACAGGCTAATCAAATTCGGACTGCCACTTGTTACATGGACACTGGCCATGTGCTTCATCTGCTTACATACTGAGCTGAAGAAAGATCTGACCAAAAGTTTTAACTCTTGATTAACGGAAACAGATGCAGATCAAGCTTTGTAGAGCTCTCAATGGACCATTGGGCATGTACGTGACCAAGATGAAGAGTCACTATTTAGGGTTTTTTTGCTTAATTTTTCAGCAAAAGCATTTTTCAAGTCCCTAACTGCCTGAGAAGAAAACTCCAATTGTGGTTTTAATGAGCAGTAAATTCAGGCCACCAGAGCTTTTGGTCCCCTGTCCCTATGGTGGTCTCCGTCTTTAAAATAGCCTCTTTGGAAAGCTATTGTTCATCTCATTCTGATCCCTCAAAAAAGAAAGGTGTCTTGGCTTTAGCGTGGTGAATAGAAACTTTAGCACAAGTGACTCCACTTTTTTTGCTTGGTCTCTTAGGGCTTTTCCAGGGGCTCAGCCCACAATAACCACCTCCTCCGATTTTTGTTTAACACCTTCCTTTAAATATAACTATTTAGTACTATGAAGTTCCCTCTTGGTGCTGATTTAGTCACATATTTTGATATATTTCTTTTTCACTTTTACTCAGCTCTAAATATTTTTATCCCTGGTAACATTTATTCTTTGAGTTATGGATTATCTTGAAGGATATTGTTTAATTTCCACACATTGGAGAATCTCACTGAGTGCCTCATGCTGATACTGATTTCTAATTGGAACCTACAGCAATCAGAGAATACACTCATTTGATTTACTCAAGAGTACACACAGCTGTTTGCAGTCTACCTGTTTGAATGTCCACCTTGTATTCTTTCATACTGTGATTTGAGGAACTATTTTCAAGATGATAATATGTAATATACTAACAGGCGATTTCTTACTGTTATGGTTTTTTTTTTGTTTGTTTGCTTTGTTTTTTTTTTGTTTTGTTTTGTTTTTTTTGTAGTTCTGTATTACGTGTACCCTTACACCGCTTTGGTTTGTTTTGTGTTTTTCTCTTTTTCCTCTTAAATAAAAAAAAAAGAGTACTGAGGTTCATTTTTTATCCTTGGATGTGGGCTCCTTTGTGACTGCTCCCTGGACTCTCAAGGAAATTGTATTCTATAGTTGGTGGAGTGTGTGTGTCTGTGAGCTGTATCAAAGCCTTGGATTTTAAGTAGCCTATGACATATAAAATGCATGTACTTAATCCCTTTCCTAGGGGAGCATTTCTCCTACTCTCTGAGACTCTTGGCGATCAGTCACCAAAGTTGAAATTGCTATCCTGACCAAGAAGTCCATGGAGTGTAAGAACTGAAACTGAGGCTCAGTATGAACAGCTGCCAGGACATCTGGGAAGCCAGCAGGCTGTGGGATGGCCTGACCACAAGTTCCCCTCCCCACCCAGCTCCTACACACGAGGTCCTTTAACCATACATCTGTCTTTGTGGAGGGAACCCAGTTAATAGCGAGCATAAATTCACTGCCAACCAGTTATGCAGCCCAGCTAATCATGCCTTCCTGTGGAACCCACTGAGGGTCCCACCCTCTTGTTACTATGAAGTCTGCCTCCCTTCACCCAGCACTGTTCACTCCATTCTAAATACACCCTTCGTGTTACCCTGCATGGCTAACAATGTCTTCTCACCCCGTCTTGTCATACATAGAACGTAAGTGACTGTTGGACATTGTTGATAGCATTAGCTCCATGTCAAGAGCTGTGTGTTCAGGCATCTGCATCCTTTGAGTTTAAAAGGAGATACTAAAACACAGTAGACAGGGTCTGAGACATGGCTCAGTGGTAGAGCTCCTGCTTTCCATGTACAAGATTCTGGTTCGACTCCCCACACCACACACATACCAGACACCACCAATTTTAGGGACCTCCTACAAAACACCTGGTCTGTTGTCCTGAGTGCTCAAGGTACTAAAAATGAGGACTAGTTAAGAAAATGTCACACACTCCAGAAGAGCCCAAGAAGATGGAATATCTACACAAAATGTGATGGGCTAGATGGGACTCGGAAAAAGAAAAAAAAACATTGGGGGGAAATCTAAATCATGTGTGTAGCTTATTGTGTGGGTTTGCCACAAGTAAGAAACTAACATTGGTCCATTTCTCATTGCTATTACATCTTAAAATGTAGGTCAACAGAAGAGGAACCTGGGTGAGAAGAATATTGGAAATTCTATACTTGCAAAGTTGCCCAAAACTAGTCTAAAATAAAATATTTATACAAAAAATAATACATTGAAAGGGAAAACCTCACATTTCATCTGAGCACATGCATATATTTTCAATTTTTAATGTATAGTGTAACACATGCCATGCAAAGTACAAGCCTTTAACATATGCCTTAAGATACTTGGCTTGGTTACTTTTCTCTCCTTGTTGAGACAAAATACCTGACACTCAAAGTGAAGCAGGAAAGGTTTATTTATCTTACAGTTTTTGGAGGTTTCAGTCCTTAGTCAGCTGGCTCTAAGACAGGGTGGCGTGGCTGAGGGGCAGCCATTCATGGTGGCTTCAAGCAACAAGAGCTTAAGGTCAAAAGAGGGAAAAGCATGCCTCCTTCTCTCCTTTATATAGTATGCTGGTTATTTGCCCCTGGGTGGATACAGCACTCACACCACCAATCCCAGTGCTAGACAACAAACCAATCACAAACGTTAGACTCAGCTGCCTCCATGATTGCATGAGGCTTGTGGGGGCATCCAAACACAATCCATAACAACACTTGATAGATAGAGACACCCTGCAGCCACATCTCAGATGAAACTGAGAGCACTATGAAGGCTTCCTTGCTTCTGTTCCTAACCAGCCCCCATTCATGGGAACCCTCATTTTGAAGCCCAGTCAAGATTAATCCTACCTAGAAGGAAGGGAAAAGAGAATCAAACCTTAAAGCATGTATGTTGTATGTGCCTGAATGCTTCTGCTTTTCTGGGATAGCCTCACATGTTTTTCTACATATGAGCAGTTTTATTTCCATTTTCCTGGCTTTGTAGTCTTCCATCTGTCAGTCCTCCACTGTTTTATTTCCATCACCCATTGGTGGTCACTTGGCTCCTCTGGTACAGGATGGCTCTGAATATACCTGTGGGGAATGTTTTGTTTCCTCCTCGAGACAATGGCACTCTCTGAGGCTTATGAGAGGTGCACACAGTGGAAACAGATTATCAAGTATCGATTTCCAGTTCCACTATTTACCAGCAGTGTGACCTTGGACCAGTCACCTTTCCTCTTGGCGCTTCAAATTGACTCTCTGTAAGATGGATTTCAGATCGTCTACCAAAGGCTGGGAAGATTAAATGATCATAAATATAAAGCAGTCAGGAAAGTGCCTCACCGTAGCAGCCATTAATAAATATCAGGAATGATGATTCAACTTCATTGCTACAATTTAGCAGAAATTACCGTAAGTGTGGATATTTCAAACCAAAGAAGCAAGGCCTGGTGTCGCAAGCAATTGCTCTTTGGTTCCAGGGATCGAACTCACAACCTTGCACTTGCCAGGTAGATGCTTATGCTGCTGAACTAAATGCCCGGCCCAGCAACTGCTTCTGAGGAAACTATGGACCTTGTCTGCCCTCCTTTCCTACAGGTGCTGAAGGAATAAAAGATAGCTGTATTTTATAGGTTATTCATTTTGTTAAATGTGTCTCACAGCCTGACCATCCCAGGACTGAATTTGTTCTTTCTTCTGCAGACCCCAGACCACCACCAGGCCCTCTGTGAAATTCCTGGAATGGAAGAAGCTCAGCCCTCCTCCTTACCTCTTCCGGGATAGTCAGTTCCCTGTTTCTCTTCCTGTGTGACTATAAATTAAAGAAAAAGAAGCAGGCAGTGGGACATTAAAGCTCTGGCTCCCAGGGGTCTGGGACACAAAGGGACAGTGGTGGACATGTGTGACTCCAAGGAAGCCAGAAAGCAGCCGCTGGGGTCATTGGGTAAGACTGGGCTGGGACTCGGGACTGTGGGGGGGAGGGGGCATGCAGAGGACCAGCTGGAGCCCCTGCCTGCCCAGAGCCTGACTGATGCTCTGTTCATTCAGACGAGGAAGAGCTGATAACCAGCGGTACCAGATATTCTCTAAAAAGCTTTAGCTACCGACTTATGTCTACATTCAGCTGCTTGGCAGGTAGGGCAGGGGTGGCAGGTGAGGAAGAGTGGACAAATCCTCATAGATACTTGGTTGCTGGGGAGATAAATCCTGGGCTTCCAGGTCTCTGGGCCCTAAGATGTAGAGTTTGAGATTCTGGATTCCTGTGCCCTGGGGAGGAGGAGGCTGGTAGCAGTTCTGCCTCTGGCCAGGCAGAGGCTAGGACTGTGTTGTGCTGAAGCCTCATGGATCATCTCTCCGGCAGGGTGTCAGGGCAATGAGCTCATCTCCCTGATCGTACAGCTGTTCTTTCTTGTTCTCTTCACTGGACTTCTGGTGGCCATCCTTGCCCAAGGTCAGGACGAACTGAGGGATGGGGCTCCTGCAGGTGGGGCTGAAGCAGGCATGGGGTCCTCCAGGGACTTCCTTATGGGGACTTCTCAGATGTTATCCTCCATCTGGTGCAGGGACAGGGAGAGGGAAGGAGAAGTGGGCTACTGGACCCACTGGCCCTTGTCTTTGAGCCTTCTCTGAGGGTCAGGTTTCCTCCTCTAAAAAATGGGATGAAACAAGACTTTGGCTCTCAGAGTCGATGTCCATGGAAGGACAGTGAAGCCCAGGGATTAGTAATTATTATTTTTTTCCTCGGCACAGTCTCCAAGGTTCCCAGCAACGAGGAGCAGGAGGAGGAAAAGTCAAACCAGGAGAAAATCTACCAGGAACTCAACCAATTTAAGACTGGATTTGGTGAGTGACTGAAAACGGAGTCTCCAAGGACCTGATAGGGTCTTCCTCATGTCACCGACAGCTCTCTGAGCCTCAGTTTCCTCATCTGTGAATTATGAACACAAGATGCATGCCAGGAAGGCACTTGGTGTTCACAAGGGACAATGCACACAGTAGGTACTCGAGTAAGCCAGTTTCCTGGGTTCTCCTGGGACTGGGAAGGGGCTCTGGACGTGGGCAGCAGAGTGTCTCCCCAGGCTGCAGGGTAAAGGAGGCCCTAACTGTCCAGGACATAAAGACTAGGGCATATAGAAACCTGACATCCAATGTGGGCCCAGCCTGTCCTGTCTCCCCCACCAGATCGTCTGTGCCGGCCCTGCCCCTGGGACTGGACATTCTTCCAAGGGAAGTGCTATTTCTTCTCCAAGTCGAAACGGAACTGGCATGAATCTATCACTGCCTGCCAGGAGGCAGGGGCTCAACTGGTCATTGTGGAAAATGATGAAGAGCAGGTATTCGTGGTTTGGCCAGGGGTCCTGATGTGGGACATGTGCCTCGCCACTGGGAAGCTCTGGGGGTGATGGTTGGTCAGATCGGGGTTTTCTGGACTAAGGCTACTCTCTGCACTTGGAAAATGAGGTGAAAAACGGTGATGAATGGGTCTCAAGCACTTTGAAAGAGACACTCAAGTTCTATGCATGCTTTGGGAAACACTCAGAGAGTCAGTGTCAGTGGAAGGCCAGCGGGGAAAAGCCCCCCATGGGCTATGTTTACCAGTTTCTGTAGTGCAAATATTACCATCGTGGTTTATTGTAACTCTCTAATGCAGAGCTGGAAAGAGGTGAAGTGCATGACCAGCAGTTAGGAACTCATATGTTTTGGATACAGCGAGCCTAGTCATGAGTAAACCCATGTGGACACACTTAGAGCTTGTCACACTGATAAACTTGCCATCAAGTATGTGTGGTAAGAGGCGCCCATTCTGTGCCTAAGTCAGCACTTACAGCATACAGATGTGGGAGGGCTCAGGCCTCTTGAGCATGCTTTCAGGTTCTTGGTCAGTAGAGTAGAAAAGGTAGAAGATCAGACTGCAAGCAGAACTTCCTGCTAAGAGATTAAGGAGACTTTAGCTTAAAAGCTGGAAACACACTTCCTTTACTGACTTCTCTCCTCTTCCAGAGCTTCCTGCAACAGACTTCTAAGAAGAAGGGCTTTGCATGGATGGGACTTTCAGACCTCAACAAGGAATCCACCTGGCGCTGGGTGGATGACTCGCCTCTGGCATTCAGGTAGGTCTGCGGAAAAGGGAGCTCCTTAAAGAGCAGATATGAGTCCTCAGTCTCTAGCTTTAGCTACACTTGGGGTTCTATCCCTCCTCAGTATAAGATATTTACTGAGCGGAGGAAGATGTTCTTCATACCCAGGTGGGGATGAGCTGGCAGGTGTCTATACTTCCACCATGAAAGATGCAGAAGCAGTGTGCAGCTTGAGAGAGACTGAAATCCAGTGTACTAATAGGAAATCTGAGGTACAGGAAGATCAACAGCTCAGGAGACATTCCTTTGGAAAGATAGCTTGCTGTACTCCTAGATGTACTCCGAGAGCGGGTATACATTGTGCTGTAAGCACCCACGTGGGAAGAACCAGGGCTGGCAAAGTGGTACAGGGTGGGAGAACTGTGAACAGAGCCTTTCTTCATGTCCAGGGGAAGGAATAAGCAAGACAGGGGAAGGCAAGCAGCCTAAGGAGCGATTCCTTGTGATGGTGGTGGGTCGGGGGTATAGATGCTGGTCCTAGTTTCCAGGTATGCAACCCTTGGGGGGCAAATAGGGGCCCAAATTCCAACAAGGGATGTGATTGGAATGGTGGGGTCCAGGTGGGTTGGTTTGTGTCTGAAAGTCATAACCTCAGGGAGAGGATATCTCCTAAGCATGGGGGACAGTGAGGGTCAGGGGCCAAGTTGGAGTACCTCAGGCATGCCATCAGCTGTTCAGATGAGGCATGTCCACCATATGCACGCAGGGCAGATGTGAAGGCATCAAGTTTCCAGTAGTTAGAAACAGCGTTCCCAGGGCAGGGTCTGCTCAGACCAGGACTTATGTCTTCCTGGACTTCACAGCCTCATGCAGTACTGGAATAAAGGGCAGCCCAACAACAATAATGAACAAGACTGTGTGGAATTTCGAGGCGATGGCTGGAATGATGCCAGGTGTGATATCAAGAAGTTCTGGATCTGCAAAAAATCTGTCACTCCGTGCTCCAACAAGTTCCCCTCTGCAGCCTCTGCTGCCCAGTAGCAGAACCGTACCACGTTTATTCCAGTCTTTGACCCACACTATGGACACTGAGGTTTGAACAATGGCTTCAGGACTGTTCTCTGTCACATTCCTCATCCCCAGTGAGGCTGGACCACGTGGTCCTCTCTGATGTCTCCGGGTTCCCCCCTGGTTCTGTGGCTGTGGTTCTGATTGATCTTTGTAGTTTAATACAGTGGCCAGCTGTGAGACATGCAGAGGCTGCATGTGTTCTGTTGATCTACTTTGTCTTCCTTGATGATGTCACAAGGTTTGCATGGCCAAGTGCAACTGCTGGCGCATCCTCTGGGGCTTTATCCCACCCCGGCCTGCTTTCCTTCCATCTGCTCAACGTCCATGCACATCCCCTGAGACCCTTGGCCTGGGGACTTTCCCTGGTGACCGTGCCTCATCCTGAAGGCTGAAAACACGAGGAAACTGATTTCCTCTCGTCAGCCAATGACTACGTGTACTGCTGTACAAATACCCCAGCCTCTTGCCCCCTTGGTGATTCTCTGGTGAACTCCAAAGTGGGCTCCTGGATCTCTTTTCAAGGAAAGACACATTTCTCCAGCTGCCCCACTGTCTGAGGGAAGAAGCTGTCACCTGCCAGTCCTTCCTGCCTGGACTCTGCTGCAGGGAGCAGCCTTCACCAAGGACAAGCTCCTCCCTTGTGCAAGTCACATGAGTTTGGGATGATAAAGATTGGGCCGTGTCGGACCACAATGGGACACCCTTGAAGGATCATTCAGATTCCAGAGCTCTGCATATGGCATCACTCACTGTTGTCAGACCTGCGCTGCAGAATGTGTCCCCTAACCATTCCTACTCCCTTATGTGGAAAAATAAAAATGTACACGCAATCTTTGTCTGAACTCTTAAATGATATTCACGTCTTTTGTTCATTATAATCAGCCCTATGGATTTGCACTTGTAATAACGAGGTGACATGGGGTGAGATTCTTAGATAACGTCAGCAAGGCATTGGTCACCAGGAGAAGAAAAGACCTGGGAAGAGGAACTGAAATTCTCACTCTCCCATGCCTGTCTGTAGGGGAAGCTCCATTAGTCAGATTTCTATCGCTGTGGGGAAAAAAAATCTGAGAATAACAACTTAAAGGAAGATTTATTTGGGGTTAAAGTTTAAGGGATTTCACTCACAGTCTGCTGGTTCCATGGCGAAGCAGAACCATCACAGCAGAAGTGTGTGGCAGAGAAAAGCTAGAAAACAGCCAGGCAGCAGAGGGAAAGGGAAACAGCCAGAAAGAAAAAGGGCCAGGGAGGAGCTACAGTCTCCCCAGCAGTGGCCCCTATGACCGGTTTCATCCACTTAGGCCCCATCTCCTAAAGAACACCCAATAATGTCATCAAATTATGAATCTACCCACAGACTAACCAACCAAATAAGTTAGAGCCCTCACGACTCAAATCACCTTCCAAAAGTCCATCAGCTGGCCACCAAGCTCTTATGGAACATTCCAGATCCAAGCCCCAACCACAGGGCAGGAGATGGGCTGCTATAAAACTCTGAATAAGGAGATTCACTGAGTTTCCAGGATGGCGAAGCGTGGAGGTGCTGAAGGGCTGCACTGTCCGGAGAGGATGGAAACCACACACCCCGTCCTCACCCTTCCATTCCATTCTTTCCTTGCTAGTAAACCACTCTATAATAGCAGAGTTTCTGTGAGTCCCTGAATTTCTCTGAGTCATCTAGCAAATTCTAAAACTTTATAGAGGGGTCATGAGAAAACCCCAGGTGTATGTTTCCTGGCAGTAGCATGATTAGCTTGGGCACTCACTTTTTGGTGTTGTTTTTGTTTGTTTGTTTTTCACAGTTAATATTGTTTGGAAGTGGATCAAGTATGGAACTGAGCCCTGAACTAGTAGACTCTGGTGCTAACTCTGGTCAGAATTGGAGGACTGGCTGGTGGGGACCCATCCCCAGCTTCCTCTCCCCTTCTGCCTTTGTGAGGTCAGTGACGTTCCTTCATGAACAAAGCGCATGTTCAATCCCATCTCACTGGGAGCCTGCTACTCAGCCAAGCCATTTCTTCCATTTGCTCTACTTTTTTTCCAATTTACTGTTTTCTGCTCTTCTCTTTGTTATTTATTTCCTTGTGATGGCTTTGGCTGGATTTGGTTCCTTTTGTACGAGCTTCTTGGGGTTACTGATGTGATGTCTTTCTTCTGTCAAAGGACAAAATTAAAATTCTCAGCTCATCTCAGTTGGCTTGGTAGTCACTGCAGAGAAGCATAAAGTTTCTGGTGGTCAGAGGAACTGAACTTGCTTGTAGAGATAGAAATTACTGATGAAAACCAAAAAAAAAAGTCAAAATGGATTTGTCATTTCCAAGTTACTTTCCTTGTAAGACCCAGGCAAGGAGGCAGAGCAAGAGGGAATGAGTGGTTTGCACAAGTTCACTTCCAGTTTCCTATTAAAACTGGAAACATGCTCTGTTCTCTAATTCTGATTGCTAAGAAACCCAGAAAAAACCACTTACTTTCAGCTTGGTGACTAGCACTTTGGCCAAAGCACCTCGCTTATTGTTTTCTTTGGGCCTCCTGTAAGAGATTTGCCAAAAATAGCGACTATAGGGGCAGAGCTAAGATGGCGGATAGATAACAGCCGCCTACACAGGCTCCCTGAGAGAGTCAACTTAGAACTCAACATAATACAACATGGGGAGCCCCAAACAGAGGGAAAGGAATTCTCTCATCCCAAGAAGAAACTAAGGTGAGAAAAACGAATCAAACATGCAGTCCTGGCTGTCTATGCCACCATACAGCCCTGACAACCTCCAGGCCGCCGGTGAGACAGGCCATCCCCGCACCACCACCTCCAGTTGCCACCTCAGACTGTCGCCAGGAGCCCGACAGAGGCTGAGGGAGTGAAACGACTTGGCGCCCACCAGCTGCCCCCACCCCCACCACCACGGCTGCCTCCCTGAATCCAGGCGCATCCAGGAGGTCTCAAGGAAGAGGGTGGGTTGCGGCCCCATGGGCTTGGGACCACATTGCTGGGACGCATTGCCACCTTTGCACATGCTGCTTCCTCAAGGACCCAAGCCCACAGAACTGGCCCTGAGCAGGTCCCTGCTGCTGGAGCACCCCCAAGGTCTCCAGACGGATGAGTGTGTCTTTGCTGCTGCCAGGCCCATGCAAACAGAGCCCCACAGAGCCACTGCCATGAACAGAGCCCAGAGAAGCTGCTTCTGAACACACCTCTTCAGACAATAAATGAAAATACATAACCGAAACTTTTCGGTTTCCTGTCATGCTGGACCAGCTTTGGGGAATTGGGCCTGCCTGCCTGCATCCTGAACTTCGGACTGGGCTGCCTGGGGTGAGTGTCCCCTCACCATCCCAAGCCCCTGGGAGAGAGTTTAACAGCAGGTAATAGCAATTTGGGGAGGGCAGCAAAACCCCAGTCAGCACGCTTCAGAAACACCCTAAGCAATACGGAGAGGGCCAGGACCCCCGGACACACCTGTCTGAAAGAAACCAGAAATATGCCAAGAGATAGAAATAAAAAAACCTCCAGCCACTGATCTTGGAAAAATAAGCCCAAGAGAGATAAATACAGAAGAGAAACAGTATAGTAATCATGCAATATTAGACACAGCATCAGTGCACATAAAGAAATACCTTCATGACCTCATAGGCAAATTTAAAACTGTACTTCTGATCCAAGTGAGGCAAGATATAAAAAGATTAATTAAAGAAATGATAAGCCCCTCCCAAGAGAACACAGGTGGAATAACTGAGGAAATTGGAAAAGGAAACAAAACCTTTCAGGAAGAATATAAACAAAATCTAGAATACATGAAACAGATCCAAAGAGACTACTGGGAAACTAAAAACCCCATTGAAAACTGGCAAAATGCCTTGACAGAATCTAACATTAGCCTTTTGAAACTTGAAGAGAGATTTATGGTGTGTGAGCGCAGAAGAAAAGATCTCTTAAAAGTAACAAGGAACGAGCCGGGAGAACACAGCGGACAAATAACAGCAGCCACAGAGGCTCTCTGAGATTACCAGCTTAGAATCCAGGAGCGGTGCCATGTGAGGAGTCCTAAGCAAGGAGAGATGTACCCTGCCGACCCAGGAACAAACTAAGCTGAGAGAAACCAACTGGAAATGCAATCCTGATGCTATAACAGGAACAGATAAAATCTCAGCATGGAAGCTAGATCCCACACCACTGGAAGCCGCGATTTGAATTTCCTGCTGCTGCTACTGCATCCCAATCAGCATGGCAGAGAGAGAGGCAGGAATCAGCAAACCAAATGGCATTGAGAGCAGGACTGGCAGGGAGCCCTGCATCAACCTGTGGTGAGTGACAGAAATGGGGACCCTTTCATAGACTAAGAGGCTCCAACAGAGGACATTCTGGGAACAGGCAGACTAGCCGGAACAGGGCCCTGCAGTGACTTTAGTCACATGTTCCCCTCTCAAGCAGGATTGGTGGGGAGCACTTGGCCTGGTGATGCCACAGACTAAGATCCAGTAGGTTAGCCCAAATCAGGTCCCTGCGCCTGGCGGTGCACCCTAGCAGTGAAGCCTTCACTAGGTTGATCTGGAAGGACGGGCCCAGCAGAGGCTGCCCAGGTCTGTGTTTCCCTAGTACACCGCAGTGGGCAGGAACACCTAGCCAGCGGATTCAAACAAACTGTAACACACAAAGAGAAAAAAAACTGGGCCTCCTACATACGCTTGTATGGAAAGGAACAAAATGTATGGGAAAAGGGAGCAACAAGAAAGGGTCCTCAGTCCCCAACCCTGAGAACACGGATCCAGGAAAGGTAAATGCAAAAGAGAATAAAGACAGAAAACATGCAATATCAGACATGGCACCTGTACACATAAAGTGGTATCTCCAGAGCCTCATAGACGAGTTCAAAAATGAAGTATTTAATGAAATAAAGCCAGAAATAAGTAGAATAGTTAGAGAAATGCTAAGCACTGCCCAAGAAAAAACAGATGGTGGAATGGAAGAACAGAAAAAAAGGGGAGAATTGTTTAATGGAGAAAATAGAGAAAACATAGAATACGTGAAGCAGGTACAAATAGATTACCAGGAAACTAAAAACTCTATTGAAAGCTGGCATAACAGCTTGAAAGAAACTAACTGAACTGGAGGGCAGATTTGTAAAGTGGGAGCATGAAATGAAAAACTTCTTAAAAATAACAAGAAAACAAACAGCAAAAATACAAAGACTAGAAGATGATAAGAGGATCTATAACTTAAGAATTAGGAACATAAAAGAAGAAGTAGGGACTCAAACAAATGAACTACAAAAGCTATTCACAGAAATAATCCAGGAGAATTTCCCTAATTTAGCAAAAGGTAAAGATACTCAGATGTATGAGGCATACGGGACCCCAGCCACCTACAACCCAAACAGAGCTACACCCAGGCATATAATAATCAAAATCACAGAAATCCAATACAAGAACAGAATACTAAAAGCTGTCAAAGACAAGAAACAGATCACTTACAAGGGAACACCCATCAGAATTACAGCAGACTTCTTGGCACAAACCATCAAATCACGAAGAGCATGGGGGGAAATAATTCAAGCTTTGAAAGACAATAACCTCCAGCCAAGATTGACATATTCTACACAACTGTCCCTAGAAATTGATGGAAAAACAAGGTGTGTCCAGGATAAAGAGGAACTAGGGGAATTTGTAACCACCAACTCAACTTTAAAGAGATTACTGCAGGATATTCTAAAAATGAAGAATACCAAGATTCCAGAAACAGTGGCAGAGAGGCCACAATGAATGGAGCAGAAAGCGAAATGAAGAAGACAAACTGACAACTAATGACAGAAAAAGAGCTCAACAGAAATGAGGCAGA